TGGACAAGGAACATAATCTCAAAATTTCAGCTTTCTAGCTTTTCTCGTTCTCCTAAATCTTTCACCTTCTCGTATTCGAGGCCCAGACTTGCGTGGAGGGTTAGTGCCGCGACCCTGGGGTGGCACCCAGTCGAGGAACCCACTAGCGAAATTTTGGCACCGGAGCTTGCTTGGTTGCCGAGTTGAAATACCTGGACAGACGAAAACACACACACACACTCACACAGACAAGGTCGTCGCAATATGCGTTGTAGCAAACTGTATGTAAGCAAAAACGCATAACCTGGGTTTTCAGTGAGCAATTTTCCAAAAATTTTAAGTGCCTGTACGTGAGAACCACGCATACATGAGGGCTGGATTTGAAATATTTAGGCTGTACTTGGACAGGGAACAATCCCCCAAAATTTCAACTTTCTAGCTTTTCTGGTTCCTGAGTTATTAGTTTTTCCGCCAAAAATTTAATGCGCCGCGCATGCTTGGAGACTGAATTTGAAATCTTTAACTCACACAAGCACAAGAAATATCCCTGCAAAGTTTCAGTCTCTTGTCTTGTCTAGTTCCCGAGATCGCCTGCCCGCCAAAAAATTAGCGTGTTTTTTTAAGACATCGTGCGCAGCACCCAGGCATAGGCGGGCGATGATATTAAAATGGGATGGTAGCGTATGGTGTAGGCACATAATCCTAAAGTTTCAGCTTCTCTGGTTCTCGAGTTGAAAGTGGGTGACAAAAAGTGTGAACACACAGACAAACAGACACACATACAGGCAGCCTCTTGCGAATATGCCTTTTTGCAATTTGCATGTATGCAAAAACGCATATTGCAACGACCCTGTCTGTATGTTTGTGATCTTCTGACCGGGTATTTCAACTCGGCCACCAAGCAAGCTTTGGCGTCAAAATTTTTCCAGTTGATTCCTCGGCCAAGTGCCACCTTAGGAGCGCGGTAGCAACTCTTACGCAAGTCTGGGTCCCGCGCGCGAGCGCTTGAAAGTTTTGGCGGAAAAATTGCTAATTCGGGTATGAGAAATGTTGAAATGAAATGAAAGTGAAATGAAATGAGAAATGAAAAATGTTTCTTGCTCATGTGCACCTAAAATGTTTCAAATTTAACTCTTCTAGTGGTGTCTTTGTCGCTCACCAGCAACCTTCCATTTCTCGGGTCACTGAAACTGGCATCTACAACTGACATGCCACATAGCTGCACAATTAACTTCCTGAACTTCAAGTATGTCACAGATTCTGTGGTTCCTCGTGACCTTGCTACAGCACGAAATAGTGCAAAAACGCATGATCGCACTGGCTGGCCCGGTGCGTTCCAGCCTAAATTTTATATTCTGTCTTGGTTATAATCTCAGGTGGTTTTCCCTTTATTTTTTGGTTTATTATTCCCAACTGTATTGCTTTGTGGTAGAACTTGGCCACTGAAAGCTACTCATATAATTTTTACTTGTGAATCAAATAAGATCTATTAGTTATATTGTTAGTTTATTTGGAAAAGG